AATCCTAATTTCCTCCAAAGACAATTTAACGCTCTATAATTTTCTAATGAGGAACTACGGGGCTAGTAATGTAATAAGGACAAGCAATTACAATGACAATAGAGTTTTGCACATCCTTGCTGGATTAGGGGATAGTCTGGATTAGGGGATAGTCAACACAGCTACATATGCACAAGAACTGAAATTATAGAGCACGGATGTAGCTAGCTATGTCGTTTTTTCCAGCCTTTTTGCATTTCTGACGACACAGTGCTGTACTCTGCTGTGTAGATACGTCACAATTACGAGTATCTGCAGTAGCATGACCTAAAGTAAACCCTGTATGCGTGATGACGGGAAACGTACGTAAAGTGTGCGTGTAGCGAAGTGCCACGATATACCTTCCAGCAAGTACACATGCACTCACTGCCCTAAGAGTCAAGTTGGTGGGTACGTGTTACTGTGATTCGTGTATATGACCCATTCCAGACACTGCCCTACCGATTGCATTCTTGAATTAGCTGTCTTTTTTCGGTAAGCCAACGTCACGCCGGTGGTATAAGGCTGCTGATTCAGCACAACCGCGGAAAAGCGCTAAAGTTCGCTCGAGTGCTTATACGCAACCCTCTGGGCTGCTTATAACCCAGAAAACCGTGCTGCATTTTAGGTATCAGTATAATTATAGTACTTGGTTAAAATAGGGACGGGCATGTACACGTTGAAATCTGGGAGAGTTGGCAGACACTCTGATGCTATCACGTGATAATAATTATCCGTTGGTAGGTGGCTAGCTACACACATTATAGTCATTTCAATTAGTTTATGATATGCAGCACCGGTTGCACTCCCTTTCCCCCGCCTCCATATCTGAGAGATGGGGGAGATCTGTTGGTGACGGTGGCGTTGCAGTTTTCATGATAATACACCAGAGTTCACCGATCCAATCCTGTAGATCTACCAGGCGTGGCTTTTTGGGATGTCCGACTGGCTCCACCGGTATTCTGAAACTTATTTCCTTCGGCACGCCGTTTGCGACCAATGTGGTGTAAATTCTCTCTTCCCAATCCCGCAGTCTATCATAGAACTTATCCTGGAAATCTGGTTTCACTTTGAGCGCTGATTCCAACACATTCGCGCGGGTCATGGCGAAAATCGAGCGCTCCCACCAAGAAAAGCCGAAATTCGCTGACAGTTTCTTTATTGCAAAAAGATCGCTTGGTGCTATATCTGCGGCTGTCAGTCCGTACGAGCGAGTGGCCGAGAGATCAAGGCAATAGATGACAATAGTCAAGTTGCGGCACTTTTGATTGAGCTGAGCGAGACACTCATTTACCGAGCCCTCCTCAATACCAGGCGAGTCCCATACCACAATCTCTAAGCCTTCTCCCGCCGTCCACTGGTGGCCAATCACTTTATTCGGCCCGTTGCGTAGTAATGGGTCGCCGGTGTCAGCTACACGTCTCCCTACAAGGGTATTGACGAGGGTAGACTTTCCCACGCCTGGCGCCCCTGTTACGAGGATCTCAACTCGCCTCTTAGAATCGGAGGTCGGCGCTAGTGAAGCTGACGTCCGTTTGCTGGACGCTACGGAACCAACTGTTCCTTGACCCAATTTGTACGCTGCCGTAGGGGCTTGTGGGTTGAACGACGCCGGATCCCGTTTGTATGTTGCTTCAGGGTACTGCTGCGCGATAGGCTTTACTGAATCGGGCGCGTTTTGACCCTCTCCATGTGTAGATTCGGGACACAATGCTGGCGTTTTGTGACTCTTTTCGCGTGTCGACGGCGTCGTTACAGAAGTCAGGATGATGCACCAGAGTGAATCGAGCCACTTCTCTCGCCCTGGTAGACGCGGCTTCTTGGGATGGCCGACAGGCTCTACCGGTATTGTGTAAGCTACTTCCTGAGGCACGCCGGTTGCGATCAGCGTGGCATGAATTCGCTCTTTCCATTCCTGTAGTCTGCCATTGAACCTCTTATCGACATCGGGTTTCACTTTCAGCGCTGATTCCAACACGTTCGCACGAGTCATGGCGAAAACGGAGCGCTTCCACCAGTTCGACCCGAACGTCGCAGTAAGTTTCTTTACTGCAGAAAGATCGTTAGGCGCTACCTCAGCAGCCGACAATCCGTAGGAGCGAGTGGCCGAGAGGTCCACGCAGTAGATCACAACATCGACATTGCTGCACTTTTTCTTGAGTTCGTTGAGATACTCATTCTCCTTTCCCTGGCCGTCCTCGAAACCGGGCGAGTCCCACACCACAATCTCTACGCCGTCCTCTACCGTCCCCTCGTATCTCTTCACGTAGTCGCGGCGTAGTAAAGAGCCGCTAGTGCGTACGACGCGTCTCCCTACAAGGGCACTGACGAGGGTAGTCTTTCCCACGCCTGACGTCCCCGTCACGAGGATCTCCAATCGGTTCTTATCGCTCATCGACGCTTCTAGAAAACGGTGTTTAGCTCCTTTGTTTTGAGTCTCTCAGTCCAAAACCTACGTACGTAGATCGTTAACGATTTTATATTTTCTGCCTTCTATAGGACAATACGCAACGCATAGCATCTGTGCACCGATGCTTATTAGTTGATGTAATGTGTGACTATTTATAGACATTTCTTGCATGGATACAGAGAGGGTAGATCAGGAGACTGATCAGCTCAAGTAATGGACATACCTTAGCTCAGTACACCTTGGCAACGGCTACTGTCAATTCACGGCTAGTATACTAGGATGTGGAGGAGAACTGAAGTAATGGAGCACACTGCATAGTCTGTTTACATTATACTAGGGAGTTCTATACCACTGCTATAAATTATGCGCATGCGATAGACAACGTGACAGCTATAGATAGAGCGCTGTGAACACACTTAGATTACAGCGGCATCACTCATACACTATAACGAAAGTTCCGAGATCTACAATTATGTCTCTCTGGCACGGCTTGCATGGACGAGAAGACCAGCAGCAAATCCGACTGCTCCCCCCGCGGCGCCTCCGACCGCAGCACCTACAGGACCTCCAACAAAACCAACGACGGCTCCGAGCCCAGCCACCGACGCCGCAACGATACCAACCCTAGCCGCAATAACTCCAGGTGATGTCTTCTCGCTCTTTTTTCCTTTGTTCTTTCTCCCTTCCCCAGGCGGGGTCACGTAAACGAAATCAGCGTCGTCGTCGTCGCGCCGCACTGATATTTGCCGCCATAGTTCACTGGGCCAATTTTCCCGAGCGGGTAGGCGTGGCTTCCTGGGATGGCCGACTGGTTCTACCGGTATTGTGTAAGCTACTTCCTGAGGCACGCCGGTTGCGATCAGTGTGGCATGAATTCGCTCTTTCCATTCCTGTAGTCTGTCATGGAACTTTGCCTCGAAGTCTGGTTTCACTTTCAGCGCTGATTCCAACACGTTCGCACGAGTCATGGCGAAAACGGAGCGCTTCCACCAGTTCGACCCGAACGTCGCAGTAAGTTTCTTTACTGCAGAAAGATCGTTAGGCGCTACCTCAGCAGCCGACAATCCGTAGGAGCGAGTGGCCGAGAGGTCCACGCAGTAGATCACAACATCGACATTGCCGCACTTTTTCTTGAGTTCGTTGAGATACTGATTGTCCTTTCCCTGGCCGTCCTCGAGACCTGGTGAGTCCCACACCACAATCTCTACGCCGTCCTCTACAGTCCCCTCGTATCTCTTCACGTACCCTGAGCCATCGCGTAGTAACTGGTCGCCAGTATTCGCTACACGTTTCCCAACGAGGGCATTGACGAGGGTAGATTTTCCCACACCTGATGTCCCCGTTACGAGGATCTCAATTCGCTTCTTACCACTCATGGCACTTTGGCAGTTGTGCACGAATCGAGGTACGATCGTTTTTAATAGCGGCGCCGTCTATCGCTAATTATAGTCAAATTCCATGGCAAGTGCGCAATGCTCAATGCAATTATCGAGGCTGTCTATTGCTTAGTTGAAAACTTTCCTCTATTGTCATGACAGTGAACACATTACATAGCTAAAACTACAAAAAGATTCTACTTTATACTGGCAGGATTAGTGAGAAGAACAGCACATAATGTTAGCAGTGACTCTAGATTAGTTTCTCTCTTCCGACCTTTCTCAGGTAAACGACTATCCCACCTATTCGATGTTCTCTGAATGAAGCACTTTCCACTGTAGCACCAACAGGACTACTTGCACTGGCCGCAAGCTCTGTTCCCGCTGTCATTGTTCCAGCCGCAACCTCATCGTGTGTCGATTGCCGGCCTTGCGGGTTGATCGGCGTTACTGAATCGAGCGTTGTTGGGCCACGCGCTTCGGATGTTGATTCATAGCCTTGCGGGACGAGCGTTGCAGATGTCAGTATGAGATGCCTAAGTCTACCGAGCCAGTTCTCTCGGTCAGGTAGACGTGGCTTCGTGGGACGCCCGACTGGCTGTACCGGTATCTTACAAGCTACTTCCTCAGGTACGCCGGTTGCCAACAGCGTCGCGTGAATTCGCTGTTTCCAATCCTGCACTCTATCGCTGAACTGTTCGTTCAGCGCAGTTTCCAACACGTCCGCGCGAGTCATTACGAAAATTGAACGCTTCCACCAGCCTGAGCCGAAAGTCGCTGTCAGTTTCTTTATTGCGCAAAGATCGTTTGGCGCTATCTCTGCAGCTGACAATCCAAAGGAGCGAGTGGCCGAGAGGTCAATGCAATAGATCACAATGTCGACATTGCTGCACTTCTCCTTGAGTTCAGTGAGACACTCAACTTCCCTTCCCGAGCCGTCCTCGAGACCGGGCGAGTCCCACACCACAATCTCCATTCCCTCCCCATTCTCTTCCTCCGACACGTTCACATTCGCTCTGTAGCCAGTAACGTTCCTTGATTGGTTGGTTACTTGTTTACCCACAAGTCCGCTGACGAGCGTGGACTTTCCCACTCCGGACGTTCCCGTTATGAGGATCTCCTTACGGCTCTTCGGTGGTTCTGAATAGGGTAACTCTTCGCGCGTTGCGTACAGGTTGATCGGCGCTACTGTATATGATTCAGGGCCTGTCGACGCTTCTGAATCGCACGTCGGGTTGATCGGCGCTACCGTTACCGGACCCTGATCGCATGTTCGGTCTTGCGCTACTGTATCTCGCGTTGTTTGGCCATCTACATCCTCACATGTTGATTCATAACCCCGTGGGTCAATCAAATCGGGCGTACCGTTACCCTCATCTGTGGGTACTGTTGCAGAAGTCAGGATGATACGCCAGAGTGAATCGAGCCACTTCTCTCGCCCTGGTAAACGTGGCTTCTTGGGATGGCCGACTGGCTCTACCGGTATTGTGTAAGCTACTTCCCGAGGCACACCGGTTGCGATCAGTGTGGCATGAATTCGCTCTTTCCACTCCTGTAGTCTACCATTGAACCTCTTATCGACATCGGGTTTCACTTTCAGCGCTGATTCCAACACGTTCGCACGAGTCATGGCGAAAACGGAGCGCTTCCACCAGTTCGACCCGAACGTCGCAGTAAGTTTCTTTACTGCAGAAAGATCGTTTGGCGCTACCTCAGCAGCCGACAATCCGTAGGAGCGAGTGGCCGAGAGGTCCACGCAGTATATCACAACATCGACATTGCCGCACTTTTTCTTGAGTTCGTTGAGATACTCATTCTCCTTTCCCTGGCCGTCCTCGAGACCTGGCGAGTCCCACACCACAATCTCTACGCCCCCCTCTGACGTCCCTTCGTAGCTCTTCACGTACTCCGAGCCATCGCGCAATAACTGGTCGCCAGTATTCGCTACTCGTTTCCCTACGAGGGCATTGACGAGGGTAGACTTTCCAACGCCTGATGTCCCAGTCACGAGGATCTCCATTCTGTTCGTGGGCACTTTGATATATAGCGGCAGCGCTGAGTAACTAATCAGTGAACGTAGCTTTTGTATTCTCTTATAAAAACACCGCGCATCTCGGCGCATCTAAATTCCATTGCGCGGAATTTGCATACTTACATATTTGGGCTGGACACTACTTTCTTGAGCTAGACTCTAAACTTTTTCTACAGCTACAGTTTATAGTGAGAGAAGAGAGTTATTTCTTCGAGCCCTTTCGTTTTTTGGACTTTCTATACTTCCAGATTTTAGTGAGGATAACCGCACCGGCTCCGACGGCTCCGCCGACGACACCGCCCACCACACTCCCTATAATGCCGCCCAATGCACCAACCGCAGCACCAGTTTGAGCACCAACCGACCCCCCTTTCAGAATGTGACTAATCCACTCCATGTGATCTATCACGATCGGCTGTTCGTAGCCTTCCTTCTCGAAGTCTCCTTCCTTCACCTCGCTCTCTTTCTTCAAGCGATGCAGATTCAATTTTGTTATCAGTGGCTGAGAACGCTCCTTGGCGCGGTCCAGAAAGATGATCCAGAGTGCACTGAGCCAGTATTTCCTTCCTGGCAAGTGTGGCTTTTTGATGTGACCAGCGGGCTCTACGGGTATTTCGTCAACAACTTCTTTACTTACACCTTCTCGAAGCAGCGTTTCGTGGATCCGTTGCTTCCAATCCTGTAGCCTCTCGTTGAACCGCTCCTCGAGATCAGGCTTTACGCTCAGCATTGCCTCCAGCAGGTTCGCACGGGTCAGTACGAAGATGGAATGCTCCCACCAGTCCAGGCCGAAAGTTGCCGTCAGCTGCTGTATTGCGCGGAGATCCTCGTCTTCACCCTTCAATTTAGCCCGAGTCTCTGAAACGTCGATGCAATAAATGATTACATCGACATTACTACACTTCTCCTTTAGCATAGAGAGATACTCGGTCTCCTTTCCCGAGCCGTCCTGAAGACCAGGCGAGTCCCACACCACAACTTCCACGCCATCCTCCGCCTTCGCCACGTAGGCCTTCACCTCCGCCGTTTGTACTTTCAACTTGCTTCCAACCTTAGCCACATCTTTGCCAACGAGAGCGTTAACGAGTGTAGACTTCCCCGTTCCTGTTCTTCCCGTTACCAGAATCTCGATCCGGCGCTTACTGCTGCTTTTTTGAACCCATTCCTTTATCTCATCTTTTTGCTCTACCTCAATATCCAAACCATCGATGGCGGCTAACAGCTTACTAATATCCGTAGACATTTTTCGAATTCGAGTCAGTCTTGCAGCAGTAGCGCACGTTCTTATAAGTGTAGCTACGCGCAGTTAGTCTGTACGCTGTGAATGACGCACGCGCAAGAATATCCGCATATTCTTCGCAGTTGGAGTTGTTTCAAAACTCAGGGTTCCAATCATGGCTGAAAGTGCCGTCGACTCGGACATCAGCGCCACATTTGCGCAGCTACCTGACGAACGCATTCGCCGAGAGCTAACGGAATGGTTCAAGAACAGCAACGAAGTGAAAATCTTCATCACGGGGAAAAACTGGGGTCGGGAAGTCCACTCTGGTCAACGGCCTCGTGGGGGAAAAGATTGCCAAAGAAGGCGACACTCTAGATCCAGAAACATCCGTTGTGAAGGCTTATCAAAGCAAACACCGCTCCGTTCGTGTGACGGTGTGGGATTCGCCCGGATTGCAAGACGGCACTAAAAACGAAGGCCGATATTTGGAAGACATGAAGAAGAAATGTTCCAATATGGATCTAAGCATCTACTGCGTGAGCTTGAAGGAAACACGCTTCTTCCCTAATTGTCCAGATATTCTCGCGATGAGGAAACTCACAAGCTTGTTCGGGAAAAAAATGTGGGAGAATGCAATGTTTGTGCTCACATTTGCAAACGTTGCTGAAGACTTGGATTCGGCAATACTCGAGGAAGACGACGAGAAGGAGAAAGCAAAGCTGTTCCAAGACAAAGTGAAGCTGTGGAAGAAGACACTAGCTGAAGCTCTCATTGCAGAAGTTGGTGTGGATAAAGAAGTTGCCGAGCGCATCGAAGTTGTTCCCGCGGGACACCAATACATACCTGCGCTCCTAGATCGCCACCACTGGCTCAGCCCCATTTGGTTTGCTGCTCTTTACGCCATGCACCCCCGCGCTCAGCCTGCGATGGTCAAACTCAACCGCCACCGCATCGTAAACAACCCAAAAGAAATTCGTGATGAGGACCTCACGAAATTTATCCATGAGCAGCCGATAATATTCTCGAGCCGTGGTGCTCTCGTTGGCGAAAAATACGGGAGCAGTGAATTGGGGCAAGCTATTGGGTCCATGATAGGAAAAAACGAGTCTGCCGATTTGAAGGTTGCCCTTGAGCTACGATATACACTTCTAGAGCTTGCCAAACGCTATGGCCAGGCATTCCTACACGTAATCAGAGATTTGTTCAGAGGAAAGGAGGAAGATGTCTCAGAAGTAGTTTAGGAATTGGACAAACTGTTTGTAGTTAGTATATGCAATAATAAATGTGGTCGTCATTCGTGCACGGATCGCCATGTGACTGATGCGAAATCATGCGTGCGCTCGCCACTGTGTATTTGGGCGCAGCTACAATAGCGCGAACACTGGTTGCCTAAAAATATTTAGGTGTAACAGGGATTATTCGCTCTATATTTAAAACACCATTTCATATGGCCATTTCTCCTCTTCAATACAATACAATACAATACATAATCCCACAAAGGTGTGGCCAATTATCTGCTTCATTACTCTCCACTAATACTTCCTCATAACTTGCATGCTTACTTAAAATAATAGCTATACACTGTGCTTCTGATTATTCATGAACTATAGCCACCCACTATGGGAAGCAATGAAGTATAAAGTGGAATGGAGGAAATTATCTTACAACCTCGCAGGAATTAAATATCACCAGATGTGTGTGTAATGGAGCACCTCATACAGTAGAGCAATCATACAATACACCCACAGTTCTCCTCCACATAGCTGTGTTAACTATCCATGCAGTGTTAATCCGTAGCTAGCCTCATTTGTTCCCTCCCCCATCCCTTTGTCTCGACGAAAAATGAGCTTTTCCTCATCTCTTGAGGATGCTCCATTGCCCACCAAATACACAGAATATTTACAACTCAGTAGTTATTATCGCATAGCTAATGGTGTTAAGTGGGTCGTGCCAGTGTTAAAATTTTTTATGCAGTTGAGGAAATAACGCATAGTTAATGGCCAAGTCATTTAATTGGCATAGTCATTGACCAGCCATGAGCCAAAGAATGCAATCATGTGTTTACTTCAGCTATAGGTTCAATCTGCCAGCGGGTTGATCACACTCCCTGTGGGACAATTACTTCACCGATAGTTAGCACACATTCAGAAGAGTAAGTATCAGATTTTCCTCATGGCTCTACCCTACAATTATTTTACACGACACCGCCTTCCTCTCTTTAGTTATAACCCCGGAAAGACAAGCGCATTTGGCGTTCCATACGCGCGCACCGCATAGCTACACGCGCTTTGTTCTTACGGAGAAATGTCTGTGTAGCCTCCGGACTATAAAATTTTATGGAACTTCATATATACTACCTAGTGTCAGATTGTGTCCGTAATGCCAATCTATATTATAAGAAGCAAATTGTTCAATTCCATCACAGGGCTTTATCCACATTTTTGGTCATGAATTCAGTTGAGACTAGTTTTTCTGAAAGAAAAACACCTAATCAGCAAGCTAGCCTCTTTCATATACAATTCATTTCTGTTACTATAAGACATTATAGCCACCCTGGCTCTTTCATGTCTATAAAAAGTATTATTAAGTTCTTGCGCTCCAACATCCTCGCGCTATTATAGCGCGGACTATATATGCGTTTTTCCGGGCTATCTAGGGAAACCCGTCCGAGAGGCAGCGGGATAGTGACGCGAGTTGTAGTGTTCATTGTTAGCCTTCTCGTCTCTTAGTCTCTCTCTGGCTCAAAAAACACCAGTGGCGTCGGCATTAGGCCTTCCGCATTTCCTCTTCCACCCTTTCCCCTCGCTGGTATTCCAATTATGTCATCGCTGACAACACTACGCTACAATCGACCTATAGAAAAGAGCTCGGGCCTGAGCTTCCAAGTGTTCATTCAGCCATTCACCCAGTCCCGACGGTTTTAGCACGCGATATAAAGCTCAGCACCGGCCCGCGGGCAGCAACACGCGGCAAGGGCGACCCGGTCAAAAATATGGCTTCAAAATACGTTGAGACAGATGCGATCGTGTGTCTAGAAAAAAACCTCGGTGAACTACAACTGAAAGAGGACAAAAAGAGAGAAGCAGAGGATTGGTTGGAGAATAGAGAGAGTATGGAGATACTGATAACGGGAAGAATAGGGACAGGAAAGTCCACACTCGTAAACGCTCTCGTAGACGTACGTATGGCCGGCACTGGGAGAGATCTGCGTGTAAGGGCTCGATACGTGACCGGCTACGAGGCAAAGACGAAGGAAGGCATGAAAGTTTTGATGTGGAGCGCTGATCTCGAGGATAATTCGGAAGATGCGGAAAGATGTCTTCAGGAAATGAAAGAAAATTGTAGCAACGTCGATATTATCATTTATTGCCTCGACGTTTCAGCTGCTCGTGCTCAATTGGGGGGTGCTGACAAAGAGCAAATGAAAGATCTCTGCGCAATTAAAAAACTGACAGAGAAATTTGGTCGAGACTTGTGGGGGCATTCTATCTTCGTACTGACCCGTGCAAACGCGTTGGAAGCAATGCTGAATGTGGGTTCTGATCTGGAGAAGAAGTTCAAAGAGAGGCTGGAGGATTGGGAGAGGAGAATTCATGCAGCACTCGAGGAAGAAGGTGTACCGACAGACATCGCTAAGGGAGTACCAGTAAAACCAGCTGGTTACGTCAAGAAGCCACACCTACCAGGCCATAAGGATTGGCTGAGTTCACTTTGGTCTGCCTTTACACAGCGTGCGGAAAGTATCTAGCTTAGCTATCCCTGAATCTCGATTCGGCATTTGATGGTAATTTATTGTTTTACATCAGCTGTCAACGGAGCAGTATTATACACCTTCGGGGAAATATCTAGTGTTGGCGCTAAGTACGTGGCCGGTAGCTAGCTAGCTGCGCATGAAAATCACAACACGCGCATGCGCGGGTAGCTAGACCGGAACGCAGGCGCAGGTCACGCGGAAGAGCCACGCCTTTCTCGCTCGATGGGAGTGACGCGGCAATGGCTGGTTTCTTTATTTCCTACGTCTCGGATGGAGGAAACAACGTTGGAGTCCCACGATCGATAGATCCTTTCCGGGAGCTCGGTCTTTCATCCGGAGCGTCTCCGCGAGACACGAAAGCTGCTTACGGAGCTCGAGCGAACCGTCCGCGACGGCAGGACCGGGTGATGGCGTCTCTCGCTTATCACATGATCACGTCCACCGCCGAGGGTCGCTACACCAAGCGAGGTCGCCTGTACGAGATTCGAGACCGAAATGACCAGTTCTTTCTCGCTGCCACGGGCTACACTGCGCTACTGATTCAGCGGTTAGATTGGAAACGCTCCCTCTCTAATGCGGACGAATACGGCCGTACGTCGCTCTACATCGCCGCTCGCAGCGGGTTCTATGACACGACCAAGGCCCTCCTGGAAAACGGTGCGCCAGTGAACCAGGTTCAACGGGACGGCAGTACACCACTGCACGGGGCAGCCTATTATGGTCAAGTTCCTGTCGTCAAATTGCTGTTGTCTTACGGGGCAGACCCCAATCACCAGAACCAGTGGGGCAACACTCCTGTAGACGAAACAAGTGTTGCAGAGATTAAAAAGCTGGTTCTTGATTACAAGGAAGACAAAATCGCAGATTTGCCCGCACGTTTATAAGCAAGGGCCTGGCGACCAAGATTTGTAACATAGTTGATAAAAGTGGCGTTGAAATTGCTCGCAAAATTGTGCGCAATTTCAAAGTCATTAGTTCAATGACAAGGAGGGAGTGGGACGATAGGCTCAGTAGTTGGGAGTCCTGCTGGCACGGGACACGGTCGCAGTACATCGAGTCCATTCTGCGTCACGGACTGCTTCCGAGTGGATCTAAAATTGGCAGTCACACTATCACTCCACCCAGTGGCCACATTCCATTGGGCACCGGCTGCCTTGGGAAGGAAAACTGGGCTGCCGCCATTTTCGTGTCTCCCAGTGTTCTCTATGCCTCAGATGCGTGTTATTCCGAACTACTGATGTCTGGTGGAACGAACTGGCGTGTAGTGGTGAGGGTGAGAGTTGAGCGCAACTCATACAGCGAACACAGTTCAACACTCGTCTCAAAATACGCCCCAGTGGATGGAGAGCCGGAGAAATTCCGAGTACCGGGTGGCTTCAACCGAAGAGGACAAAATCCGAAGAGTGGAGAGCTCTCGAAATGTGATCATAACGTCTATCACGTTCATCAAGGCAAGTATCTTAGAGGATGTTTCGAACTCCAGGAGTGTCAGCTATAGCGATTTCGTGGGCTCTTTTGGTGATGATTGAAAACGTACAATGCTTGTTTGTGTTATACCCATGTATATATATCAGCCACTTACTCTGTGTGATTATGCGTGAGTGTATGAATAGTTTCTCTTTGTGTGGTCGACATGTACTGTCTTGAGGCATTATGTAAATGCCACGGCCATGTAAGATTACCAGAAACAAACAACCAAAAGCAAAACAGTGTGGTGAATAGTGGGAGGGTATATACGAAGTCTATATAGCAGTGTATTCTGGTGTTGAACAACTCTAAATGACATTCACAGCTGCATGCCACAATTCCCCTGTGTAATCAGGAAACTACATTACACTCACCTAGGTAATTCCCCAGCGTTCAGCTCTCTACTGTGAATAGCTTCATACGATATTATACTATGGTGCACACGTACTTGTGTATGCACGGACGGACCGGACAGTAGGGCGAACTCTACTCGTACTCTCACTCACTCCCACAGAACTCGGATTGCTGCGTGCCCGCGCATGCGTGAAACCACACCCGATTTTTCGCCTCTGCGTTTTCTTCTCTCCCCGTGAATTCTGCGACGAGGGGTATGGCTTTCTTCATTGCATACACCGCAGACGGCGGAGGGTACGTTATAGTTCCACGTTCAGTGGACCCATTCAAAGAACTCGGCTTGTCGCCTGGGGCGTCGGCACGGGCTACCGAAGATGCGTACAAGGCACGCGCTAACTTTCCCCGCCGTCAGGACCGAGTGCTAGCCTCTCTGGCGTACCACATGCTCACCTCAGTCGACGGGCGCTACACGAGGCGTGGTCGACAGTACGAGATCAGGAATTTGGAGGACCAGTTCTATCTGGCCGCTGCAGGACACACCAAACTCCTCCTAAAACGAGGCTCTCTTTCCAAGACCGATGAGCATGGCCGTACGTCCCTCTACATCGCCGCTCGCAGCGGCTTCTACGATACGACCAAGGCCCTGCTAGAAAAGGGAGCACCGGTCAACCAGGTACAGGAAGACGGGAGCACGCCGCTTCACGGTTCAGCCTGCTACGGCCAAGTTCTCGTGGTAAAGTTACTGCTGTCCTACGGGGCAGACCCTCATCATCGAAACAAATGGGGTCGCACTGCAGCAGATGAATCAAGTGTTTCGGAAATAAGGAGACTTGTAACAAACTACAATGAGGACAAAATTGCAGCACTCGCCAGGTCTTTCATAAGTATGGGTCTGGCCACTAAGCTCTATAATATGCATGATAGCAGGGGCGTCGAGATTGGTCGTAAAATTGTCCGAAATTACCAAACGATTCCCTCCATGACGAAACAGGAGTGGGACGAGAAGCTCTGTAGGTGGGAGTCCTGCTGGCATGGAACGAAATCGCAGTACCTCGAGTCCATTCTGCGACACGGACTGCTCCCCAGTGGAGCCAGAGTTGGCGATCACACCATCACCCCACCCACCAACCACATCCGTCTCGGGAAAAGCTGCTTCGATAAAGACAACTGGGCAGCTGCAATTTTCGTGTCTCCCAGTGTTCTCTATGCCTCCGATGCTTGCTATGCTGAGCTACTGATGTCAGGCGGGGAGAACTGGAGAGTGGTTTTGAGGGCACGCATCAAGCCCAACTCGTACAGTGAACATAGTTCGACGCTTCTCTCCAAGCACGCTCCAGTGGCAGGCGAACCTGAAAACTCTGAATATCGCATTGCATCGACTGAAGAAGACACGATTCGAAGAGTTGAAGGATCTCGTCACGTGATTGTCACGTCTGTCACGTTTATTAAAGCAAGTGTTTTGGAGGATGCAAGAAACATGAACTATGACAGTTTGTTAGCCCATTTTGGAGAAGTTTGAATGTCTTTCTGCATCATGGTATATAAGTATATATAGCAAACAACACAATTTAATACTTTGCTGATAGTCCCCGCGTACAACAAACTCAGTCTCAGATTGTGTCTGGGGAGCTGCAGGGTGTCGCTGGTGGAAGGGGTGAGTTGAGGTGTCTGGGAGGTGAGACAGACACCTCATGTTCATGTTCATATGGTGTATGTTAGTTTGTTAACGGTTCCGCCCATTGCTCTGGGTGCGTGGTCTATGGAAATCTCACGTGACCCGCGTACAAAACGGCGAGAAACACGGCGAGAACGCTTAGCTAAGCCTTGAAAACCAAGCCAAAATCACTGACAGGCCCATATTTATCTTATTATATTCCCAAAAGTATCGTACTGAGCTCTAATCATCCACGCGAGAATTGCTCATACCCGATTTCTGGATTTTCGTGTCATCATCGTCATCATCATCATCATATTCTTCATCTTCCGGTTTCTTCTTCAGTAAACCCGCTATCTCGTTACCGAAAATAGGTGAAGTGCTGATTTTTCCATTAAATGTCTCCAGATTCGCCAGAGGTGTGCACGGACATCAAGCGATCGTTTTTCTTGTCCCCTAGTCGTCTCTACGGATCCTGAAGTATTTACGGTACACGGTGAACGACGCCATTTACTGCCAACTCAGCATTGCGTCGTGGGCGTTGTCCCAGTGTGAAATCACGTGATAAAGAGAGAGAGCTGAGAGCGCGAGCAGCTAGCTCGAGCTCGAGCGCTAGAGCGCGAGGACAAGGGGGCGGGGTCGTAAGGGCAGGGCGCTATCGCTAGTAGAGGAGGTCGAAGGTCTACCGGAAATACTCCCATGAGTGTATTAATATACACGTCCTTGGTATTATATGGAGCATGCGTGCGCACGTGTAGCTAGAGGATCGATGAGAGAGAGCTAGCTAGCTAGCTAGAGCTAGAGGCGGGAGATATTCTCGAGGCCGGGTCGTCATGCGCACATGCTCGGCGCGCCGCGCTGTACCTATATATTGCGTGGCCGCCTGGAATCCCGCGCTCTTTTCTGATGAGGAGCTCCCCGGCCGTGCTGTATATATGCTGGCGGTTGTTATCCTTGTGAAGCTGTGGATTGCAAAGTTCGCCCCCCGTTGTATACACAACTGATCGCGGGGAAGAGCCTTGTGTTTTTGGTAAGTGTGTCAATTTTTTCCTGGGTATATACTTCGCAGAGGTGTGTGTGTTTGAGTTACGTGCAAGGGTGTGTTAGTGTTGCTCCCAACAGTTCTGCCTAGGACGTTAAAGAAAAGCGAACCTTTGGCACACGCACGTGATGTTATATCCTGTCTCTTCTCATGTGCATGGTCCAAAGGTCAATTTGCAGAAGAGAGTCCGTGGTTCAAAGTTTAAATTGCACACAGAAGACGTATAATTAGGATAAGAGATTTGTGCTTGTGTCCTCTTAGGTGTTACACAGACATCCTAAACTTAGATGCCCACACCAACACACAGCCATTCATAACCCCATACCTACATCTTTCTGCTATCAATCTTTTGCTGATGAATGGATGACCACATGAAGTATATATAGATGTGTGTGTCAACTGCTTAGGAAGAGGAACAAACAAAGATGTAGGTATGGGGTTATGAATGGCTGTGTGTTGGTGTGGGCATCTAAGTTTAGTGTGGCGTAGCCACACCCACGAGTGCGAGCAGTGTGAGGGTCTGGTGTCAAGCTTGATCAATTTGTATATATATACCCTGCTGCAGGATTTTTGCAGCCCAATCAGATCGCAGAATCTCCCTCGCCCTTTTGTAAATTTTCACCATAATAATGTCAACAATTTCGAGTAAGGCATTATGTAATCAGTATAATTATACAGATCGCGGTAAAGCTTGACGCCAGACCCTTGCACGACTTACGACTGAGGGTGTGGCCCTGCCAGACTAATGTTAAGTTCTTGTTCCCTTCTTTTTCGTGATGTGACATCCCTACATCCTCTTTCATTTTATAGAAATGATTTTTCCACTTGTTACAAACTATATGTTGGTGATTTTCAGGCTGTGTTCTTAATTCCTCCCCTATCTGTTCTCTTCGAGAGAGAAATTTAGTGTGTGACTTTGTCGCACCGTTAGCTTCTGTGTGCATAGCTACCTATACACACATACTGCCAAAAGTGGTTTAGCTTTAGTCTTCAAGGCTACTGCATGTATGTCACAGTTTAACACTCAATACAGAGAAATTATTAGTCAGTCTCCTTGTGGCAAAAATTATATGTTCTGTCGTACATCTTGAATTAGATCATATGCCTTAGTCCTGTTTGTGGAGTAAATTAAGGGTAAGCAAATAATAATTGTTAAGTCACCAAACCTGAAATTGAGACAGGAGTACGCCACCACTTCAATGGTGGTCTTGGCAGCCTCTCTCTCACTCAGACTGGGTCTGAACCTGGCCCTCAGGTCATGTGACAGTAACATGAGAGTCACATGATCCAGGCACAGAAAGAGGCAGTCTGGGCCATCATCAATCTGACTGCTGGCAGAAATGTTGATCAGGTGGGTGGATTCTCTCTTCTCTTTCCTTCAGCATTTTGTGAACTTGTTTTATGCCTTTTATGGTGAGGGGTAAAAGTTTTTGGGGGGGGGGGGCGATAGATTTGCGTATGGTCCCAATTGTGCAGTTGCCATTATACATGTATATATATACTTCATCCAGCAACAGCACTGACATTGAAAAACTGCACCGTGATCAGCACGAGGGGCATGGCTAGAAACTAACAGGTGCAGCAAACATACGCAAATCGTAACGTTTTTCACGTAACATTTCGCAATCGGGTAATAATGAGGATGGTGTGTGTGACTCAAGTCTGTTCGCCAAAGCTGCTAACCATTTTAGTATCTGATGTGGCGTCATATTCTGTGTTGCCACTCCACCACACATCCACACAACAAACACTAACACTGACTTGTACGTTTTTGTCTTGTAATAATTAACATCGTAACACACCGTCAGACTATAGCTAACTACATGTACCAATGTTAGGCCTGTCGACTTTTCTCCACACTCCCATTCTCTCATATTTTTGCTGCATATTTCTGGAGTGTTTTTGGACACTTAGTAAACGTAAGAGTTTGGTGAAAGGAGACTAGCTACCGTTCGATAATGGGCCAGATTAGGGCCATTGTCATGCCACGCCTCCCCAAACTTGATATAGTATCAGAGTAAAGCTTCTCCAAAATCGTTGATTGTAGCCACAGCAGCAACCATTAATGACTGCTTGTAGCCTTCGCTCCTAAAATCCTCGAGGGTTCACATCGTCCTCTTCTCTGAGTCCACTTTGATTACTCGGGGGTGTTCACCTCGCGTAGAAAATGTGACTCAACACGCGCATGCGCGGGTATACTACGAGTTTTGAGGGTGGGGCCGGGGTCAGGCTACGCCGGACTACTTTCCGAGCGCGTATCTCCCAAGTCGTACAACCCTAGCACACGCAATATGGACCGTTCAATAGCGCAAGTTTCAAAGATATCGTACAACTACAACAGAGCGTAAGTAAGCTAACTACGGCGCTTGGAAAAGTGCCATCTCCATCCATAGACTAGTCTCGTGCCCAGACCCCGCCCTCTCTCGTGTCTGGTGTGTGACTGAGTTGTGCTGACTCATCATTGTCGAGTGCATGCGCAGAAAATCCCGTTTTCGTTCGTGGGCACGCGGAATCCACGGAGCTGCGTTACGATTTATTACATAACATCATGTGATATTTCACGCTCGTGGCAAGTGTATAATACTGCAAGTGAGACTGTCGAGTCAGCACAACCATAGATATTTTCAAGAACAGGTATAAATTATAGCACAATGGCATCGAGCAGTGATGATGAAGACACTACGATGGCGGAGATTGCATCCAACAGTGACCGAGACCCTCCACTCGACTGCGACTCGCCGCTACAGGAAGTGGCTACTGCCATTACGGAGTTCGTTGGAGACCTAGACACACACGCGCTGAACCTGGAAGAAGTGAAGAAAGATATAGGCAAGGAAATACGCGCCTTGGATCGCCCTTCTATTGCGTTCAAACTCATTGACCTGCAGACTCTCGTCCACCGCGTTCTCATCAAAGTCCGCTCCTACACACGCACGTGTGAGGACGTGAAAGAATTAGTAAGCATAAACTTTGAAGAAGAGCTAGAATCCCTCGAGGAAATGCTGGATTTCCTAAGTGAAACGAAATCCTTTTCTTATTCGATGAAGGAAGAGCTAAGTGCCATTACCAAGGCAATAGAGGTAGCTACAACTGCAGTTAAGGAACAGAAAGATGCTAATGAAGCTGCTGCTAAAGTGTCAGGTGATCCAGTGCCTCCTGCTCCTTCTGAAGCAACTTCAACGCAACTACCTCACACCTCACTGGATGCTGACAATAGTTCTCAGCCCCAGGCATCACCTACTTACCAACAAACTTGCCAGGCGTCATGTACTTACCAACAGACTCAGCAGTCAACTTTTCAACGTCTAAGCTCAATGATATTTGGACACAACTCACCTGAGCAAGAACGACAACGTGCACAAAAGGCTATATTAGATCAGTGTGCTAAGCGACTCAAGGAACTGGCTGTTGAAGTTGAGCGTATAGAGACAGAAGTTGTTGAAAAGTATTCTAGGAATATTATTGCCAGTCTTGAGAAGTATGAGAGTGTAACTGATACTGAGGAACTTTCTGTGGGGATTGGGGAGATAAGAAAAGTGTGTGCACCAAGCATGAGTGTAGCTATAATAGACTGTAAAAATTAACTTTTTATCGTGTGCAGTCTATTGATGATAATAAATGTTGGACAATTCTCATAATTATATCAAAAACTATACTATATACACGGCAAGTTCCTTTCTTGCAATGCACCTACGTACCGCTATGCTTGAAGAATGTGTGGCAATCAACGACAATGACAAAAGACTGCGTTCACACTACACACTTTTATAGCAGTCCTGGAGAACATTCTAGAATGTTCTATATAGGGTCGGTGCTGCTGTTGCTAGAGAAACCACTACATCTGTTCTGGTGTCGGTACAGCTGTGTTTACTTGTAGGTTGAGAGACCACTACATCACTCCCCCCTCCAGTGAGTTCGGGGAATGGCATACGCTAACCGGTCCGGGAAATGTACCCGTCTTCCAGAGCGTGTGACCCGTGTTGGTAATTCTGGTGTTGTACCTGCGGGTTTGGACAAGATTGAGGCTCTCCAGCAGCACAGCAACCAAGACATCTACAAACTCTCTCTCACCATCATCGACAAATTCTTCTCTGAGGTGGGCTCCTTTTAGAGTCACGAAAACTTCTTCAAAAACTTCCCCTTTACTATGCTACTTCATTCCCTTCCTTGAAACTACAGTATCTTCTGCTGTAACTCTTCTCTCTTCTTGTCTTCTCCATCACTCCCTCCTTCTTAAAAACTCCTTTCTCACACTTTCTAATTGCTTTTCATGCACGCACGTTACTCTTCTCCTTCCGTCCTGTCCCCCCTCTGCTCTCACCCCCTCCATCAGGAGGAAGAAGAGGACCAGTCAATAGCACCGACAGTCAACTCCACTGGTGGATTCCAGTTTGCACCTGCCGTGCAGAGTGTGCCTTCTGGAGGATTCTCCTTCTGAGACTCCGCCCACCTCACTAATGAGACTCCACCCACTCCACCACACATGCACACAACAAACACTAAAACTGACTTGTACGTTTTTGTCTTGTAATAATTAACATCGTAACATTTTTAAAAACACCGTCAGACTATAGCTAACTACATGTACCAATGTTAGGCCTGTCGACTTCCATTTCACCACACTTCCATTTTCTCATATTTTATGTACGGTGACGCGCCGTTCGGACCACTCGCTCCAGCGGCTGTTTGCCGGTGCGTTTAATTCAACACAGCTACAAGATTAAAATGCTTTCTCTCATTATGCAAGAGAATACAGCTACAAGATAAAAGTGTTTACTCTTATTAATATATGGCCCTAAGGCCGTATCTTAAATCAAAGTCTTAATTAGATTTTCAAATTTAGTGCACATAGTGTCAAGTGACATCTGGATATTTCTACAAACTGCACGGGACACTCTTTTCCTTCCTTGTACACGCTCCCCACTTCTGTTTGTAGCTTCAATTTTGTCTTCGCATTTTTTCATGGTTGTGTTAATCCTGTCAACTCTACGCTTGACACTTTCCAAATGATTGCCCAGTGATTCTACTTCCCCAAGGGAATCTTTAACAATTTCTCTAACAACAATTGCAGAAATAGTGGTGGCACCACCACCGATGCCACCGACAGCAGCGACTGCACTACCAGCTCCAGCAATAAGCAACCCAGCTGGTGGAAAAAATGGACTAAGGATTGCTCCACCTACAAGTGCAGCAAGACCTCCAACAACACCAACACCTGCTGCACCGCCGGCAACAATTCCCCCTATCTTTGCTGATTTCTTCCTAGTTTCATATTTGCCACAGGCCGACCTCAACTTTTGTCTGGTACTATTGCACTTGCATTCAAACGACTGCAGGCATTGAGAACACTTGGAGAACAATTGCAGCATATCTTTAACTAGGTGAAATAATGGATCTAGATCACCTTGCTTGAGTGCCTCTTTTATCCCATCAATCTCTTGTCTGCGAGAGCCCCTTCTGGCTGCCTTAAAACAGGCATTTCTGTATTCTTCTGCTTTTGATAAAACCTCTCTTAATTTTTCCTTGAGACCTTCAATTCCTTCGTCGGCCTTTTTTCCTTCTACTTTGGAATCGATAGAGTCCAATAAGCGCTGTAGTCCATTAATAGCTTTTTCTCCATAGTTAAGTAGCTCTTTGAACGCCCTCAAAAAATGTGTCAATAAATGTAGATAATATTTCTACTACTTTATCACCACTGTACAACGCCATGATACGCAACCTGCATAGAGTAAGAGATAAGTTTATAGCAAATCTCTTCTATCGTCTCCTTTCGCTTTTGAGCAGGCTCTTGCTTCACCAGATTGTCAGTAGCTATGGCCGTTAGCTACATAGTGCAGGGAGTGGAATTAGTGCCGGTATTCATCACGTGTCATTCGGGAGCCACGGCAAACGGTATACGCCGCGGCAATTGCCTAGGAAAAGTAACATCCTGGGCATTTCTCTTATGCTAGCGCTATGGCTACATTACTAGTAGGGGAATGCACGGCATTTTTGCCGAGCAGGAGCGATCGGCGCGAGCCAACCTAGGCTACTTACAACTTGCAGCTTGGAACCACAAAGATTGCAAGCCTCGGTAAGGCACCAAAGAGTGCAGCGTATGCCGCCGAATGGACGAGAATTCTCTCCCGCTCGGCATCGTGTTATAATTGGCGAGCGGGAGCGAGCCAACCTAGTCGTGAGTTCGAGCGGAATTTTCTATATTTATAATTATATACGACCGGCGTCGTGTAAGTGCGCATGCGCGGCTTGTACGCGCTTCTTTTTATCCGAAAGTATTTCCAAATTTTTACATTTTCACCACGTGCCGATCGATCTAGCCAGCTAGCTAGAACTCGTGTAAAAAATTAAAATTATTTCGGATAAAAAGAAGCGCGTAATTCTGACACATGCGCAATAGCACGACGTATGGACGGACACAGACTCCCGATATATCTATATTATATCTATATCTAGAGCGTCCTAGAGCTACTCCATACTACGCATGCGCCGTAGTATGGAGGAATTGCCCGCCCTTTGACCCTTGGTTATTTGTGTATGTGCAGTGAGTGAAAAATAAATTCACCAATGCTGGCACCTAGATTTTCGTTTTCGGACGTCACGTTCTCCCCACCGTCGGTCATATGGAAGGCGATAAGGCACGTAACTCCGCTGCACAAAAATACCAAGGGTCAAAGGGCAATAACAATTATTCCCTCTCATACTACGGCGCATGCGTATGCTCTGGAGTTTCTCCAGGACGCTCTAGGGGGGTTGGCTGTTCTAGGACGCTCTAGAGTGTCTGTAGAACGCTCTACAGTAAGGCCGATTTTTGTTACGTTTGGCGTGCCATACGGGAGCGACCCAACTTTGGATTTGCCCGCGATGTTCGGGCTGCATAACGTGCCGTCAGCGCACAGCTTTCCTTTCGTGAAGCAAGACAGATTTACCTGTCGCCGTTACATGCGTATTGTACATTGCCAGAACGGTGAGCAGGTGAGCAGAACGCTATCCTTACCCTTTCAGCTCGTCAGTCGTGCTCCACCAGGCAGCAGTATGTGCACGAGGAATCCTAGCGTATTTGCAAGTAGCACCTTTGAACCATGAAGATTGGGAAGAGGTATAGCCTCGGTCAGTCACCGAAGGTTGCAGCGCATGCCGTCGAATGGAGGAGAGTTCTCTAGCTGGCTAGACCGATCGGCGCATATCGCGAGGCACCGTGTGTGAAAATGTGTGGTTTCAGAGCGCGTACAAAGCCGCGTATGCGCACGTACTTACACGACGTAATTCCGCTCGAACGAACGACGCTCAAGCTCGCCAATAGTAGGCGAATGCATGGCATTTTTGGCGAGCGGGAGCGAGCGCACAATGATTATATCCGCACGAGCCAACCTAGGCTACTTACAACTTGCAGCTTGGAACCACGAAGATTGCGAGCCTCGGTAAGGCACCAAAGAGTTCAGCGAATGTCGCCGAATGGACGAGAGTTCTCTCCCTAGCTCGGCATCGAGCAAGCTAGCAGCAAGAGCGTGTAAAAAATTTGGAATCGCGTAATTCTGACACATGCGCAATAGCACGACGTACGGACGGACGCTAGAAAAATCGCGCCATTTGGACCACTAGGTTAGCTCGCTCCCGCTCGCCAACTAGTGGAAATGTTGAACATTGTTGGCGAGCATTGTTGGCGAGCGGGAGCGACCCAACTTCGGATTTGCCCGCGATGTTCGGGCTGCATAACGTGCCGTCAGCGCACAGCTTTCCTTTCGTGAAGCAAGACAGATCTACCTGTCACCGTTACATGCGTACTGTATATTGCCAGAACGGTGAGCAGGTGAGCAGAACGGTACTTACCTTACGCTTTCAGCTCGCCAATCGTGGTCCACCAGGCAGCTGGCATGCAGCAGTATCTACACGAGCAATCCTAGCTTATTTCCAAGTTGCACCTTCGAACCATGAGGATTGGGAAGAGGTACAGCCTCGGTCAATCACCGAAGATTGCAGCGCATGCCGTCGAATGGAGGAGACTACTTCTCTCTGGCTAGATCGATCCGTGCGGCAGCGTGGGTAAAAAAAAAAAGAAGCGCGTAACGAAGCCGCGCATGCGCACTTACATAATCCGCTGGAACGAACGACTAGGTTGGCTCACTCCCGCTCGCCAATTATTCATGTCCCTAGAACCACCCTTTGTGAGTCCATGGCAAAACCTACAGGTCCTGACACACAGCATTTTGGTTTAAAAGTGTGGGTCCATTCTAGCTTTTGACACTCCTGACATAGAGCTGTATGTTACCTTTCACTATCCACAAAACCTGAAAGTGATGCAGCAGAAAAGTCACTTAGAGAAGATTCATAGTCCTGAAATGAATTAGGGGAGTGGCGTTATTCTTGGGTCAGACAGTGAGGGTGGTAAACTCACTTGTTCCTGGTGTGTTTCAGGTGAGACATCGGTAACTATGCTCCCACTTCCCGGAAGAGAAAGCTATAGGGTAAAATTAAAGTTCCGGTCCCTCCCTGCTAAATTAATGACTCACAGGTTGCAGTGGCTGAGTTTGTGCTTGGTACACACATTCTCCATCAATCTTCACTGAAACGACTTTGAACTCTATGAACACCTTGATCATTTCTCCGCTCTCCACCAGTAACTGGGCAGGTAGGGCTACAAACCAAGTGACTTCGAAGCACTTTCTTTGTATCTTGTAAACCATCAGTGCACATTTGGGTAGTTGAAGCTCAAGCAAGAAGCTTTTACGAAACTCTTCAACATCTTTGAGCGTGACAGTCTCAGGCCACTGGTGTTTAGTCACCATCTTTTGAAATCCTGGGGGAAGAACAGCCCCTACGTGAGGATTGATTGCCTGACAGAACAGCACCAATGTTGTGGACTTCCTGAACCTCTTCATCTCTTCCTTGTATTTCTCCATTTCTTTCTTTATCTCCTTAAATTCACTATTCTTTTCGATCAGTTCGTCAATGAGTTCATCCAGTAGATCAAATGAGAGGTAGTTCCAGTACAAGTTCAACTCTCCAAACAGCTCCAAGTGGTCTTCTGACTTTCGGAGGACTTTGTGCTTGTCTTCGAGAAACTTTTTGTGCTCGCCCACTCCCAGAATAGAGGTGAGGAGGTAGACAACAGTCATTACAGTTATGCGACATTTCTCAAGGCAATTGATTGTCAACTCTTTGATGGAATTGAACCTCCGATGTAGGCCCTTTATCTCTCTCTCCAGGTTTGTAACTCGTTGACTCTCTGTGACTCGACGTGGAATGAAAAACAGATAACTTCATGCAATACTTAATACTTTTAGTGACTACCTACCGGTGACAGGACTCGACAATTGATGAGATGGATTTAACTCTCTCTCATCATAACCAACCACGACAGTGTTGGCTGCAGTCTCTGTGTACGATGATAGAGATATGACTTCACCCATCAGGCCAGCAAGATAAGTACACCTTACCCTTAGTCTCAGACAGTGTAGAGGTAGGTTCCATATCTTGCACTCCTGCGTCTGAAAACATAATAAAGGAACAAGTGCCTTCATGACTATTTTTGAACCTAGAGTCACAAGGATTAGCGATTTTTATGCAAAAAGTAGCATGGCTAGGCAATTGATTTTTCAGGCATCGGGTGTTGCTCATGAGTACTTCTGACCATTCTGGAGTTGGCTGCCAACACTTACCATGTGCACTGCGCACACATGGTTGCAAAACTTTTTAGGTAGCTAATACTCGAAATTACAACCATGTATAGTGGTCTTAGACTTACAATGTGGATTCAAAGATTGATGTGTGGATGGGGGTGAATTTGGAGCAACATTCGAAGCTGCAGCGGCTAGTAAGTTTCTACCCAGCTCCTTGCACAGCACCTGCAGTGTCCCTATGGCTCCTGCCTCATACAGACACTTTGCCAGCTTGCGATAGGTGGCCAAGGGTCCGTTTCTCTCCAGCCACTTTTCCAACAGATCAATCCTGTCAGAAACGAAAAACACTCTCTGGCTGTACGGAGAAAGCTGCTAGCTAACCATCGAATGAACAAAAACCACCTATATATAAGAGAAGAGTCCTAAAGAGACAGCGTGGGCTTACCTCTGCAGGTTTAGGTTATGCGGATTGTTGTATTCGATGGCTTCTATGTCGGTTTCTATGTTGGGGAGGTACTGAGCAAGAGTCTTCCAGTTCCGGATGCTTTTAGCGATTATAGCTCGGCTCTTTCTGTTAGGCTTTTCGTCTAGGAGGCGACGATTGGCGGCCGGAATACACTCCAACACCACTTCAAGAGAAGGCAGATCTTCCATGCCCCCGTCGGAACGTCGCCTTACCCCGCCCCTTTCTGGGGCACACCGTTGTAACGTGTAATATTTTATACACATAAAAAAAGTTATTCAGCATTGTTTATTTCGGGAAAGTGTGAGAGTGCCTCTCTGAGGCCTTTCTCAATCCGTCCAAGTTGGATATCGTGCAAACCCTGTAGCCTCTCCCAGGTGACCTGAACACCTCTCTCTCTCCACGTCTGGAGGATCTCCTTGCAGATGTCTGATGGAGTTCCGTAGCTGTTCTGTAAACCCCTGAGTGTGGGTGGGTCGAGGCCCAGCTCTGTGCGGCCAAGTCCTGGCAGTTGTTCTGGACTTCGCTGATCGATTTTTTCTTTCCTTTAGCTAGAGTCAGTGTACGTTAGCTATTAGGGAAAGGAACTTTACTGTTGGCTCCTTTGTTAGCCAATCTTCATATTCTCCTATAAAAGCAATATTATTCTTTATTCATACAGTGGGACCCCTTGTTCTAACCTGGAGTGAGAGTAGGATTAACCGGTTTGGTGTTCGTGGAGCTAGACTTTGTAACTGGATCTGGAGATGTTGTTGGAGTGTTTGGTGGAAGATCTGCAATTCCGAGAGCATGCTTGGCTATCAAAACAATGTGTACCTGTGGAAGGAGACATAGGGTGGAACTGTCCACCTTGGGCTCACGTTTAGGAAGGCGGAAACAAGTCGGCACCCGTGATGGATCCACTTATTTGTCGTCGTGTCGGTGAGGGGCAATACTGGAAGGCATAGCGCTACAGAACTAAGACTCCACTCTCTCCTAGTAAGACGCAGCCACCAGTGGATGTTGATGCTGTCTGTTTGACTCTTTTATAGTCGCATATGTCATCATATCGGTCGGTACTCACAGGCCCTATGTGATGCAGTGCTCATATAGGGTGGGCTAGGAGGCTATTTAGGGTATGGCCACGATGATCAGAGTGCCTTATGATCGTATTGAATATATGATTACCAAAGACCTTTCGGTACCTTATCAAATGTTGCGGGGAATGTTGCGGTGGAACCTTATGTATAAATAACCGGATGATAGAGAGAGTGACTGGAGATTAATAGCTCTCAACATATCAGTTACATGATATAGCAGTTGCGGAATTGTACAACTTCATATTAACACATCAAGAGATATGATATATTATGTTAAGAAGAAGAACATGCTCGCAACACAAACATGTAACATAATTTATTATCTCACTTTCCTACATGTGACGGTTACACGACATAAAGTATTCTCATATATAAGATCCTTGTCGCAGAGTTGTGGTTCTACTCTCAGGTGATTCGAAACCTGCTAGGCCTACGGCAAGAGAATAGCTTTGACCAAACCTAAATTTTTTCTATAGGTTCCTACGGGTTTCCTCCAAATGTCTCCCTGGCAAAAACAATCGAATCGAACAGCGCAGGAGAGAGACCCACGCATCGAGATGATCAGTTGCACTCTGCTCTTCGGTCTCGCTGTAGGATGGGTATGAAAACTCACCTGGTGCATCCAGGATAATAATGGGGAGCATAGGCTGTCTTCAGGCAAGACGTAATTTGAGGAAAATTAATTGAATTAATGTAGAAGCTGTGGTGGTTGAGACAGCTGGGACTTTCTGAGCAAATCAATTCTGGGATCTTAATGGGTGCTGGAGAATCGTAGGTTTCACCCACGATTACTGATTTGTGGTGGAGGAGATTCCTGTACCGGTAGTCTTGCCGGTTGGATTTCCCTATTTACTAGGCACATTCATAATCAAAGGGCACTCTCGTTGTCTTTTATAAAGTGTTTCTAGCTATTCCCTTTGACATCTTGCATCAAAGTAGGGCTGTGAATGACAAAAACAAAAACAGATTCACAAACATGTTTGTGTGCTCTCTAAATAGTGTTTTTTGTTGTGTGTAGGGTTCTAGTTTCGCAGCCAATAGTGGTCACAGGGATGTTTTGTAAGACATGAACAGTCCACCCTATTTTGTCTCTCTCCACAGGTACACATTGTTTTGATAGGCCAAGCATGCTCTCGGGAATTGCAGATCTTCCACAAACACTCCAACACATCTCCAGATCCAGTTACAAAGTCTAGCTCCACGAAACACCAAAAGGTTTAATCCTACTCTACTCCAGGTTTAGAACAATGGGTCCTACTGTTTGAATAAAGATAATATTGCTTTTTTAGGAGATATGAGATTGGCTTAACAAGGGGACCAACTAGGTAAAGGTTCCTTTTCCCTAATGCTAGGTACACTGACTTAGCTAAGAGGAAAGAAAAAATCGATCAGCGAAGGTCCAGACAAACTGCCATAGGCACTTGGCCAGTGGCACCAGACGCTGGACCCGACTGACACCGAATGGCACATACAATCAGGATGGTTCTTAAAGGCTAGAACAGCATTAGGTACGGAACTCCATCAGACATCGCAAGGCACGATCACGCTCCAGGAGCGGTTGGAGAGGAGGAGTTAGTTGGGGTGTTCAGAGAAGTCACCTGGGAGATGTGTCTGAGAGGCTAGGGTAAGGTTTAGGACGATTGTCATCGTCATATCTCTCTGTGTTTATCCGGTAATTGAGACTAAGCCCTTCAGGAGGCACTCTCACACTCTGCCTGCGATAATACACGAATGCTTGTCTTATATGGTAACTACCTTGTTCTTGGGTTTCATATGTGTATTCTGGCAAATACTATGACGATAGCCGTATTCTACACTGCATTTAAGTGTGCTAAAATCGGATGTGTCGCACGCCCCTACCGAAAGGGGCGGGGTAAAGGCGCACGTGTCCGACGGGGGCATGGAAGATCTGCCTCTCGCAATCTCACTCATGAGCATTGAAGTACGTTTGTTGTCATGTATTGTTAGTTATTTGCTCGCCGGCCACGTTGCTGAATTTCTGTCTGGTCCTCCCTAGACAACTGAAAAGGCCTGGATCAGAAAAGAAGCACCGGCCTAAGAGTATATACTGCTAACAAATGAACAAACGCAGGGACTCGTGAATGACTTCATCTTTTTTCAGGCGGCAAAGCTGGAAGACATCTATGTTTGCCTAGGGTAATGAACCTGTCCCCAAGACTATAGAAAACGTGCAATGAAAGGGAACAGAAGTCAGAAGGCCGCAAGTCTGATAATTTACCATTACAAATACTGCTCTCGCCAAATAAAACCTAAAACGGCACGAGGTAATTTAGATCTCAGACTGCCTGTTCCATTATCAGTGGAGAAATCTCTTCATCTTTTATTAGTGATGTAGGGGGTGGGTTTTGGTTTGTCTAATATGCCGAATGGGCTCAAGGCTACTAGGCTTAGATCTTCACGCGTACCAGTGCTCAGGAGGGGTGTGCTTGATTTCATAGTTTGTGAACAAGGGAGGTCAGATCTAAGACCATACGGAGAACACAGTGGGTAAGAGATGGAGAGACGGCCCGCTCGTGCTCGATGCAAGAGAGTATATGGCCGCAAGAGCATGACGCAAAGTGTCCTTGATATGACGGCCGAGGGAGAGGCCGGAGAGGGGAGCACGTGGCAGGGTGGTGCAGAGGGGCGTGGGTCGAAACGTTACGTGAGCGGCGGCTGCAGCGGTCGAGAGTTGCTGGTGGGGCGGCAAATTCACGGCGGCGCATGGCCACGACGATGCAGATGTCTGAATCCACGTTGTAGAGGTCTAGGAGACCACTAATGAGGCATTGGTGTGTAATTTGCGGAGTGAGTGGAGGGGCTAGGAGGGAAGTTGTTGGAGGAGCCAGATGGGTGTGCGCAGTGCGAAATGGTAAGGGTGTTGAGCCGCAAGGCGAGAGAGTCAGAAAGTGAGTGGCATGGGGGGGCGGAGGCGCCGATCACTCGCATAGCCACGAGGCCCCGCATGGCGAAAAGATATATTTCAAATTTCGTGCGTTTATTAGACGCCTTAGCCATTTAGTGCATCCCGAAAACTGTGCGTGCCTCTGATTTTAAGTGATCGTTTTGCATCATAAACACACATTCGCTACTGTCCATCTCCGTCCATGTGACCTCTCTTCCAGGCTCTCTTTCCAACCATACATCTTGCTTACATTACTGAAGAAGTGTCGTCATACCTCTACGCGTATCTCTTGGTATATGGGATACAGTCTCTTCGAGCACGCAGGCAGGTGATAACTGCTAGGTTATTGTGGAACTCTATCGCATACTACATCGCGTCGTTCCATGGAAGACTACAGGGTCCCGGACAAGACGCCTGCTCACTTTACTCTGGTCTGTGGCATAACCTGGTAATCCATGATCTCTATCGAGGCTGTGGACGCCGGCAGAGACTGCGACAAAAGCAACACTGTCCGTAGGCTTGGCTCTTATGATGAGAAGCTAGAGTCTAAAAGTTTCACATTCCTCCTCCACGGCGACTGCCAATTGGGCGCAAGTCGGTCACCGGTAGGTGTCATAAAAGTATTAAGTATTGCATGAAGGTCGAGGAGTAGTGTTTTTCACTTCCATCGTCGAGTCAGCTAAGAGAGTTCTCACGGAGTTATACCAAACCTGGAGAGTGGAGTTGAGATTAAACTGTGGCGGTGTCCTAGCATCGGACGGCTTCAATTCGCCAATAACAACTATTATGAGTCTCGATCATGAGACTACATTGCGCTCTTAGCACGGAGAATGCTCGGGCGAGAACTCAGAGATGAATCACCTGTTGGACTAACCCTCCTCACCAAATCGCTCTCATTTCTGTCGGTAGCTCTGACGCGCGCGCGGAGCACAAAGAAGATTGTAAGTGCGTCGGATTTAGCCAGACAAACCAGAAAAGTCCTGGACAGTTCAGTCGAAAGAGAAGGAGACCACAACTATGGCTGCGGATCGTGTTCTGCGGGAGGCTTGCGAACTTTCGGACGAGCTACCTGGCTCTCAACCTATCATTTATCTGTGGATGTAGCCTATGGATGAACTCATCTGAACGCGATACTCTGATATCGAAAAGATAGTGAATGTACGACGGTGAGATTAGACACGAAGGGACAATTGCGAGAAAATACCAGGACACGATGTACTGGACAGAGGTTCTAGGCTAAGTCCACAACATTGGTTTGTCCTCGGTTGGGCTCTGTCCAGGGTGCACAATTCCATCGACGTCAACGTAGGGGCTGTTCCTTCCCCCAGGTTTCAAAAGATGGTTGACTGAAACACAGCCCAATCGGACAGGAAGTGAGACGTGCAGCGCTCGTAATCAGACTGTTGAACCGCAGTTGTCTTCGTAAACAGCTTCTTGTCATTCGCAGTCATCTCCAGGGTACGCACCAACCCCTTCTCAACGCATGGCAGCTGAAATGGTCTCTTAAGCAACGTAGCGTAAGAAAGTCGCGCAATCGAGAGCTCACGCGAGCTCTGGTTCTTGATAGGCGCTAAAGCCTGCACACGCACTTCCAGTCATTTTACTGGT